GGGGGGGGGCGTCTATTTGTTTTAGTAAAAGTTTTACGGCACTTGCAACACCGTTAGGTCATGTGAGTGCCGATGATTAGAGGTGCTACATGAGAGTAACAAACGCAAAAAGGAGGAGAGAAATAGGCGACAGATGTTTGATAAAGAGAAAAAAAAAGAAACAAACCACACCAGAGCACCTGCCAATCACCCACGGGCCATCTATGGGCATATACCGTCAGCGATAACTTAAACCTTGTATGTAGATAAATGGGCAAATAGATTCTTTTTTTGTTGTTGGTTACTGAAAATAATGATAATAATAATAGATAGCATTTGTATAGCGCATATCCCCGCTCAGCAGCAGGTTCTATGCGCTTTACACTTAATTATTACCCCAGCAGACCATAGAACACTCCGAAACATTCTCAGCTTCCCGGGAAGCATACAGTGCAAGCAGCCGATTAAGCGCTCAAACACTAACAAACTGACAAGATCTTTCGCTGTCTTTAGCCGGGTACCCATTCCCACCTGGGTGAAGTGAGGAAAATTCGTGTTAAGTGCCTTTCCCAAGGACACAACGTCGGGCCCTTGACGGGATTCGAACCCACGACCTTACGGTTGCGAGTCCGAGAGCCTAACCACTAGGCCACCGACGCCACAAATGGGTGGCTGGTGGGTGCCCAGGTGTAGTGTATTCCTTGTTTCCTATCAAACATCTATCGCCCTTTTAATTCCTCCTCCTTTTTTCTCTGTGTGGTAACACTTTTAATCTTTGGCAACTATGAAACCTATTTGTGTTGCAAGTGCTGTAAAAAACCTTAGTGGGTGGTTGGCGGGTGCTCTGGTGTGGTTTGCTCCTTCTTTCCTCCTATCAAACATCTATCGTCTTTATCTCCCCTCCTTCTTTTTTATGTTTGTTACTCTCTTGTAACACTTCTACTCTTCGGCACTTATATGACCTTATTGTTTTGCAAGTGCCGTAAAACGCTTACTAGAATTAAAAAGCCGTTACTAAAACAAAACAACGACGAAAACAACAACAAAAAACAACCCCTCCCCCCCAAAAAAAAGTTTTTAAAAATAAATTAATAAAAATCTTTACTTAAAACCAAACTCACTCCACAGGGCGGGACCGAGCGGCTGGTTTCCGGTTCCGACGACGCGACCATGTTTCTATGGAAACCGTCGGAGGGCAAGAAGCCGGTGGCGCGCATGACGGGTCACCAGAAGCCGGTGAACGAGGTGAAGTTCTCCCCGGACTCCCGCCTCATCGCCTCGGCCTCCTTCGACAAGTTTGTCAAGCTGTGGAACGGCTTCACTGGCGAGTAAGTACATGGGTTTTTTAAATTCTTTTTTTTTTGGGGGGGGGGGGGGGCGTGTTTGTCCTGGTGGAGTAAGTGCGGGTGTTTGTGCTTTTTTAAAAGGGGGGGGGGGGGGGGGGGAAATTTCATGGGGGGAGTAAGTCCAGGTTTTTGTATTATGAGGGGGGGGGGCTGTGGGGTAGTATTTCCAGGTTTTGATAGCTGGAGGTGAAGGAGGAGGAGGAGAGAAAGAAGGGATGGGGAGGATGTATGTTACTCTCTAGTAACTCCTCTAATTTTACATGATCTAATTATGTTGCAAGTACTGTAAAACTCTTTTTTTCTAAAACTAAACTGAAAATCTTGTTGTATCTTACCCCCAGTTTCGTGGCGACCCTGCGAGGTCATGTGAGCATGGTGTACCAGGTGGCGTGGTCGGCCGACAGTCGTCTGCTGGTCAGCAGCAGCAAGGACTCCACGCTCAAGGTCTGGAAGGACAAGGCTCTCCTCATGGACCTGCCCGGTCACTCGGATGAGGTCAGTGACCGCTTTTTCTTTACTTAACCCTCCTAGTGGTTGCCTCAGAATTACTTTGTCCAAAGTGCCTCTTTTTTAAAATACTCTTTTGACAAAAAGTTCTGGGGCGATGCAGTGTTAACAGCCGATTAGGCCTAAATCGTGTTTAATCATAACTGCTAACTGTCGGTTATGTTAAAAAAAAAAGACACTTTTAATACATTTTTGAAAGATTCAGTACATATGTACGTTTCTGTTTTGGAAAATACATATTTTCTGTTTTCTAGTATTACTTCTTACTGACTTGCACTTGCCAAAGAAAAATTATGAACTTTCAAGACCGTTTCTGCAAGCAATGATGAAAACGAAATCATGAAGTCAATTGGAGGGATCCCTTGCTCCAGGTTTTCTTTGAATAGCTCAAATAAATTATTGAATACAGAAAAGTCTGTTTTGTGTGAAGGGTTTGGACAGGGGATGAATCGACCTGTACTTGAGTACCCACCATCTTGACCCACTGGGTAGGTAGAGCTTGTTTTGGGTTTTTTAAAAAGGTGGCAGCTTTGCATAAGTTTCGTTCTGTTGTGTTGCGGCTGATTTAATGAGCCAAAATTTGAGTCGCTATTTCAGTTGGTTTATCTTGTAAAAAAAATTTTAAAAATTAGAGCTAAACATTTCAACTCCTTCACAAATGAGCTCAACTTCCCATAATTTGCACTCTTCTCTCTGAAACAGTATAGATTCTAGGTCTACATAGGACCTTGATTTACTTGGTTTGCCTGTTGTCAAGCATTTTCTAACATAGTACATGAGGCAGTGTAGTAAAATCAGGCGTTCGTCAAAATAAATAATGTAAAGAAACTGACACTTTTCCTCTGGTTTGGCAATTTTTTTGTTATCTAATTTTATTTTTTTTGGCTCGAGACCTTTTATGACCATTTAAGAACCCATTTCAGTGGGAATTATGTTGAAAAACATGATAGATAGACACACAAAAAAATGTAAATTGTCAGTTTCCATGGACTTGCAGGCTTTGCAAATATCCAGACTTTGGCAGCCATTTTCTCGCTAATTTTACCTCTGAAACCAAGCGACCTCGACGTTCTTCAATCACAAATATCTTGACTTGTATTCAAGACAAATTGGTATTTCTTTCATCCAAAGTAGTAAGGCGAATGAACAAGCCTTAAGGCGGCACCAATTGCTCCATAGGCCCAAAAAAGATGAGTGCCTGATTCCACCAATACCCAATGCAATTTGCTGCAGATCAAGTTTTGTCAAATCTCCATTGATACATTTGTTGAATTTGATACATTTGAATTTGGTGTGATGCATTTGAATTTAATGCATTTTAATTTGGTATGATGCATCTGAAATTGATGCATTTGACAGCAGCCATGTTTTCCTTCATGTTGGGATGAAAAGCTACCATTTTGAAATGACTTTGTCAAATCCTCCAAAACCAAACTTTCCTAATTTTTTGGGGTCACCATTTGATGCTTCAGATGAAAGCAAACATTCAGATGGCCACTAGATCTACATATTACACGGTACAAGTATTTTGTGGGTGATTGGTTGGTGCTCTGGTGTGGTCTGCTCCTTCTTTCCTATCAAACGTCTATTGCCCTCATCTCTCCTCCTTCTTTTTTGTGTTTTTTTGTTACTCTCTAGAAACACCTCTAGTCTTCTTCACTAGTATGACCTAATTGCGGTGCAAGTGCAGTAAAAAAAACTCGTACTAAAACAATGAAACGTGTATTCCGTTTGCGTGCGGTATGCAATTAGCCCTCTTGGACTTGTAGGTAAAATTTGATGAAGCAAAGCAAAATTCAGTTTTACATTTATAGCGTGCACTAGAGCTGTCAAGAATCAACCAGTCTATACCAGATCTAATATGATCAGATCATGCTATTCGGTCCCATTAATTAACCAAAACATCCGCCGTAAGGGGCGGTTCGTGTGGCACTGGAGATAACCCATGAAATACTCCCAAAAAAAAATCCAAAAATACTGTTTTGTCTCCCTTGGTCTGGCAACTCGTTGATATTACTTTTCCTTCCGTGTTTTTCTTCTTACTTATTAAATTATTATGGGAATGTTCGATTGATTGGGAATATTTTAAACCCATATCGGGTTTCCATCGTATTTAAAAGGGATATGTTTCCGACTGAATGTGTGTTGCAAATAAGACTGAGTCATATTGGGTTTAAAAAAACAACCCAAAACCAAAACCCCGGAAAAGAAAACAACCCCTCTCAAGTTACCCAGCTTTTAAGTCTTGAGATTCAAACCAGGGTCACCCGCACAGAGCTTAAGGCACACTCTCATATCTGTTCCTTTCTGTGTGTGTTCCAGGTGTTTGCTGTAGACTGGAGCCCTGACGGCCAGAGAGTGGTCAGTGGAGGGAAAGACAAAGTACTGAAAATGTGAGTTATTTTGGGGGAGGGGGAGGGGGGGGGGGTTGTCTTGTTTCTTTGGATTAAAATTAGTAAAAGTAAGAATTTTTCTGTTTTGTGGTTAAGATTTTTTCTTTTTTTTTGTTACCAGTATTCTGTGTTTTAGTGATTAGTATATATCTGATGCATGTTGACAAAATCCACTAACTGAGATATTGACCGAAAATTGTCACTCGGGTTTGATTTATAGATTTTCAATTAATGCTAACTTTTTAACTTTCATATTTATAAATGGGAGTGCTTATTTAGGCCACATATGGCCTAAATAAGGTAAGGGAGGGGGGTTTAGCTTATTTAGGCCACAGTGGACTGTGGCCTAAATAAGGTAAGGGAGGGGGGTTTAGCTTATTTAGGCCACACATGTTCGAACTACCCTTTTCAGGCAACTGAGTTCATTCCACTTTCATAATGGTGCACCTTTCTCATTTAGTATGGTTTTGCCTCAGTGTACAACTTATAAATCATAACCATAATGAATATTGTAAAGAACAAAGCACAAAACGCAAAATTTTGCTCAATTCCAATGGTTTGAATGAGGGCCGGATTTTTCCTTCATGGAGGGGCAAAAGCTAGGCTACCATTTTGGCACACTTTGGTCAAGTGAAAAGGTCAAATCCTCCGAATTGACTTTCGGGTTAAATTTGGGGTATAAAAAGTGTGTATACTACGTGGCTGAGTCAAAGTTACACTATCTTTGCCTGAGTGACACTCTCTCGTACTGTCTCGTAGTAGTACATGTAGGCTAGTAGGCCTAGTAGTAGTAGTAGCAAAGATCGTGTAGAGAAGATTTGGTAGTAGATTCTATCTAGTAGGCAGTTTAGTGAACGTGCTCGCGGCAGGGCGAATCGGCCTCGATAAGCCCCGTAGACTTTTGTGATCGGCCACGAAGCCTCGTGTTTTGATGGGTCTAGATCTAGATCTAGATCTAAACAACTCAGTGCTATTCACACTGCCACATCCGACAGGCCTAGATCTACATCTTTTTAAAAGGAAAAGAAAGATCATCAAAATGGTTGAATTCGCATGAAAATCGATTAGGTAGAACTAGAACTATTAAAACTTGCTTCTGAAAACAAGGCAATTTTTATACGAAGGACATTTTTATAACTCGATGAAATAAAAACTACTGACTGTGTACTGTGTTATTCTGTATAAAAATAAATTATGAAACTTCAGGACGTAGATCTATTATTATTTACCAGCATCTTTTGACGCCTGAGCTGTAGAGGTTGAAGTTTTCACAACACTAATAGATCTAGTAATAGGGTTAGGTAATACGGCTTTCCGTAAAAAATGCATAGATCTACAAAAGCCGACCACCGAATCGACCGGGCGCCTCAGTCTCCCCTGCACTCTGATTCAATATTATATTTAAACAAAAATGCTAATCAATGAAAATTGCAAATTGATAATAATAGTATAGTCCTGTAGAGGATAGGTGGACTCCGGGGTCTGCATAGCGAAATACTAGGTTTTAGGATGTGGACCCCGGAGTCACCGTAGTGAAATAAGGTTTGGTTTAAGTAAGGATTGGTACTAGGTTTTAGGACAGGTGGACCCTGGGGTCACCGCAGTGAAATAAGTAGGTTTCTTTAAAGATTGGTGGAACTCGGAGTCACCAAGGCCATAGAGGATTAAGAAGGTTTAATTAAGGATTGGTGGACCCCCGGGACACCTTGATTAAACCTACTTATTTTACTACGGTGACCGCAGGATCCACCTATTCTAAAACCTAACTAGTGTTTCGTTAGGTAGACCCTGGGGTTCACCTTAAACCTACCTATTTCACTACGTTGACTCCAGGGTCCACCAATCCTTAAAATTAAACCTAGATCTATCTACATGTACTTATTTCACTACATTGACCCCAGGGTCCACCAATCCTTAATTAAACCTAGATCTACTGATTTCACTACATTGACCCCGTGGTCCTCCAATCCTTAATTAAACCTATATCTACTTATAATTTCACTACTTTGACCACAGGCTCCGCCAGTCCTATTACAAAATAAACTTAGATCTACTTATTTCATTATGTTGACCCCGGGGTCCACCGATCCTTAGTTAAACCTAGATCTACTTATTTCACTACGCTGACTCCAGGGTTCACATCCTAAAACCTAACATTTTATTAGGTAGACCCCGGGGTCCACCTATCCTTTTGGCTAGATAGACCCCGTAGTCCGTCTATCCACTTTCTTGATAATAACTGAAAACAATACATGCCAGTTGTCATTTATAGTGAAGAAAAATGAGGGGAAAAAATATAATTAGGTAGACTTTAATTTGTCCAAAAAATTGCAAGTGCAAGTGAAGATCATAAAATAATTTTGTTATTTTCTGGTCACCTTTCCAAGGACCTTAAATTGATTCTACATCACATGTCATGTACGATACGGCTGTGAAGGAAAATGGATGTGAAGAGTTTTAAAGAGATAATAATGTAACTTGTAAAGAAAACAATGCTTTACATTGGTTTGGTTATTTTGACTACATATGTGGCCTAAATAAGGTAAGGGAGGGGGGTTTAGCTTATTTAGGCCACAGGTGTGGCCTAAATAAGGTAAGGGAGGGGGGTTTAGCTTATTCAGGCCACAGGTGTGGCCTAAATAAGGTAAAGGAGGGGGGTTTAGCTTATTTAGGCCACCTGTGGCCCAAATAAGGTAAGGGAGGGGGGTTTAGCTTATTTAGGCCATATGTGGCCTAAATAAGGTCACCCTTTATAAATTGTACAGATTCCATCCGGGAATTTGACATAATATCTTTTTCCATAGGGTTAAAATCTGAGAAGTAACTCATTTTGACACCACACCTCACATATTCATATTTTAATTTTTAGTTAAAGGATGCTAGTTTTATTCTTCTAATTCAATGATGTTGTTTATGTTATCTTTTGAGTATGTGATGATACTTATGTTCCTCAGCCTGCTTGATGTTCTCTGTTTCTCATCCTGAGCTTGCTATAATTTATTGTTTTCTCTGCTTTGTCTTCACAGATGGAGAGCGTAGAGAGATAGAGACAGAGAAGTGTGTTAGAAAGTCTCCGGTGGAAAAACTTGGTGGAGGAATGTTTGTCCTCATATTATGCATGTTATACAAAAAAAATTTGTATAATGGGAAGAATAAAACCTGCCATGATAGCATTTTTATCATCATTAATGTTTTTTGTGTTACATTTGTGTGAAGCATGACTGTGTTTGCATGTGTATACATGTGAGAGAGAGGGGGAGAGTCAGGGCTTTGTGGTTTGAGGGTTTCACTGATCGGACTTTTTCCCCCTATACCTCTCTCTTGTCACAGTCTTTCATTTTGAGCCATTCTGTGTCAGCATTTGTGCAGTAGAATGGTTAGGCTCTTTGCCTTGCACACTAAAGAAGTGAGCTCGATACTCTACTCACGTAGGTTAGTTGTAGGATGCCAGTGTTAATTCCTACATCTGTTCTCTCTCTCTGCTATTTCTGTCTTTTAGTGATCAGTCTTGCGTTTTTGCCAGCCTTAGATGGTCTATGTTGTATTGATGTTCTTCAGAGTTCTTAAACTTAAAAGCTAAACGGACTAAACTATGGGTGATTGTGTGGTTTGCACCTTCTTTCCTATCAAACATATGTTGCCCTTTGATCTCTCATCCCTTTTGTCTTTTTATGTTACATTCTAGTAAGACATTTAATCTCCAGCACTTATATATGACCTAATTATGTGACAAATGCTACAAAACTCTAATTTAAACTATAACAAAAAGTAAAACTAACCTACCACGTATCCCACTCAGGTTGGGTTGGTAGCTGTGGTGTAGCAGTTAGGTGCTTCACCATCACACAGGTGACCTGAGCTTGAATCCAATATGGGGAGTTTTTTATATTTGATTATGTTGTATTCATCACAGCTTGGGCTGGCTGTGACAGCAAGGTCGAAGCAGCCTACCTTGATTTATCAAAATTGTACCGACGGGGGTGTAAAACAATTATAATAAGGATTACTATCTTGGGTTGATCCTGGTAGACGAAGTCAGTGCAGGTTACTGACTGAATAAGTACATTCAACTGTAAACATCCCTTGTTCCCTCAAATAAAAATATCAGTCTGAAGTAAAAGACCTAGGCTTCTGATCTGTAACAAAGAAAGATACAGAAGGTTATTTTTACCAAAATCCATTAAAATTCTTCCATCTTAATCATTTTGTTGCAAGTATTCATATGACCTTAGAGCATGTATCAGAATAACAATGAGTTGCAATCGGAATACCGAGTATGTATCTAGCTTAACATTATTATTGTTTATATCACTTTACCGTTCATTTATATTATGCATGTGGCTGTAAGCCTGCATGTGTGTGCATGTTTGTGTGTGTGTGTGTGTGTGTGTGTGTATGTATGTGTGTGCGTGTGTGTATGTCTGTCCCCACGGTTTTATGCCCAAAAAATTTGAACTGAGCCCAAACATATGAAATTATGCAATTCTAATTCGGTTAATTTTAACAAAGAATGATATAGGAAAATAATCTGAAATTATGCCAAAAAAAAGATCAAATTTTGCTAAATTATGGGGGGTGCATAAAACCCCGGGGACAGGTGTGTGTGCGTACGTGATGAAACACCATACCAATGTGCCAGGATCTGGACAATAAAGATGTATCTTATTACATGTATTGTTTGGGCAAGGGAGGAAAAGAATCACAATTATTTCAAAACGTGCTGAGAGACACATGATGAAATCAAGCCTCAAACTCGAGATGACCCAGGACTGGACAAGTGAAATTCCGTGCCCACTTTTGGCAGTGTGCCAAGTGTTTTTAACTGAATGTCTCTCTCTCTCTCTCTCTCTCTCTCTCTCTCTCTCTCT